CAGCATACACATAGCATACACATAGCATGCACATAGCATACACATAACATACACATAGCATACACATAGCAATGCGATACCCATAGCGTACAAAAAGAACACAAACGTTTAACTTACTGTTTGAGAGACGAACACAGGGCAGACACACTGTCACACACTGTCACACACTGTCACACACTGTCACACGCAGAGCACAAACAGAGCACATATTCGCATATGCATAGCACACACATAGCGTAGAGATAGTATGGACAACGTGAGAAGAAGAAAGCTACACACTGTTGTCCTTGGTGTTCTCCTGTCCTTGCTGCTTCTCTAACGTAAAGACGAACTTCGAGGCAGGTACACAAGCTTTGCAACCCAAGATACAACCCGTCCGCAATTACCATCCTCTGCAACTTCAAGAGCCCAGTTTGTTTGTTTTTTGGTTTTTTTTTTTGGTTTTTTCAGTTTCTTAACCAGCACAGTCAGTAGAGATAAAATAACTTCAAGCAACGTGCAAGCCAAGTGAAAACACTTACGGCTGTCCTTAGGGACATCCGTTAAATTTGGAACGATACAGAGAAGGGTAATTAGCAAGGACGCACAGAGTCACTCGGCAGTTGTTTTGGCTCTATTATACTATTACATAATTGTAATTATAATTATATTATGCACACATTAAGCGAGGGGTGGAGCGAACCCCCGCCGGGATTAACTTGTAGCGTCAGCCAGCTCTCAAGCAGGGTGCAGCCACATAAAAGAAGAAGGGGGGAAAAATATTTAAAAAAATGGTGCACTGGAGGAACGCGCAGTAGTAGTCACGATCACCATAGGCATCGTCACAAGCACACACACACACACACACACAGACACAGAGAGAGAGAGAGAGAGAGAGAGAGAGAGAGAGAGAGAGAGAGAGAGAGAGAGAGAGAGAGAGCGGGGGCGGAGGGGATGCGGGCCGGAGAAAAAGAGATCTCGGAGAGCGAGAGAGATTGGGACGCGCGCGCGCGCGCGAGAGAGAGAGAGAGAGAGGGGGGGCGGGGGGATACAAAGCAACCATGAGGTTAGTTGCAGGGGTTTCCACCTTTTTAAAGACTTTAAAAAGGACATCCCGTAGTAGGCGGAGCCGCGGAAGGAAATACAAAGGACGAACAAAGGAAGAGAAGGAAAAACAGAGGAAGAGAAGAGAAGAGAAGAGAAACGCGATGCTCGCCATGATTCCAATGAGCAAAGATAATGGGAGCATTAACTTCCTGAATTGAATCTTATTATCCGTCTGAATTCATTCTTGTTATCCGTGTGAATTCGATCTTGTTTTCCGTCTGCATTCAATCTTGTTATAGTTCAGTTATTCTCCCAGGATCGCTTACGTTAGGCTGATGGATGACGACTAGCCTGTCTACGCAGCCGTCTGGATTCAGTCTTGTTGTCCGTCTAAATTCGTCCGATCTCATTCTTATAGAACACTGGTACTTGGACACTCACCAAAGATAGTAGCGAAGAGGAACGACAGAAAAGCCCGCCTTACGGTCTGAAATGGCTATTGCGTGAATTGACGTTAAGTACAGAGAGAGCGGATGTGGTAGTAGGGGGAGGAGATGGTAGGAGCGTAGGAGGAAGAAAGGAGAAGGAGAAGGAGAAGCAGAGCGCTACGCAGCACCAAGCTGCTTTTCCAAAGGCGAGGAAGCAGAGGTTGTCGTTGAGACGTGAATAACCTTATGATGCCTGTTATTTATAGTCCCAAACTGTGATGCTCACTCAGAGCAAGAGAGCAGGGGGCAATTAGGAGTAGTGGTAGGTAGGTAGTGTGAGGTGAAATTGAGAGAAGAATATACCTAAAAAAAAAAAAAAAAAAAAAAAAAAAAAAAAAAAAAAAAAAAAAAAAAAAAAAAAAAATTTATAATAATAAAAAAAAAAAAAAAAAAAAAAATATTTTTTTTTTTTGGGGGGGGGGGGGGGCACAGCCATAATATATTTTTCTCTCTCTACTCACATATCCTTTTTACCTGGCGTTCTGCCTTGTCATGCATGGAACATATCGTTCTTTTCTTTTCTTTTCTTTTTTAATAAACATTGCTCCTATCTTACCTTTCTTTTCAGAACCCACCACTTCTCCTAAGGGGCTATACAGGGCCGTCGGGCGGCGGCGGGAAAAAAAAATTTAACGGCCGTTTTTGGTACGGCGCTGAGGAGGCCTGGGTGCCTGGCCGGGAGGGGTGCACGGCCGAGCGCCCGGAGCGCCATTCCGGGCGACCTCGGGTGGCCCGGGCGCCCGGGTGGAAAAGCTAGAAGGATACACGTTTGCGACGAGACCCTCCACCACTGGGAAGTCTCATGTCTGGTCATGCGCTCTCACTGTGTACACATTCTTTTCTTTTCTTTTTTTTCTTGCGTATTTTCGCAAAATGGCAAATTTTTATGTAGTTTTTCGGGTCACGAGGCACGGATTTTGTGTGTTCACACAGAAGGGCTCCTAAATGTCAGCGGCCCGGGCTGTGGTCCCATTAGCAAAGAGCATAGGATTGAATGCCTGAATCTGGACGTGTTCGAAGACAGGAGCAGGAAATCGAGATAGAACTGGTTTTCTGTATCTCTGCATAAAACATAGCCAGATTCAGGATTTCTATCCTATCCCCTTTGCTAGTGGGACAACGGCCAGGGACAGCCGCGGGCTTACATATTTTGCCTGGAAGCCCCCAAAATGGTATTTCTTTTTCCTGTACTGCTTTCCGGAAGCAAAAAAAAACAAAATTTAAAGTGCATTGTGCTGTCTGACTGCACACACTGTATTTTCGCACCTCAAGGCCTTGAGAGGTCGCGACCCTGTCCTTTCTGCTTTGGGCAAAAAACGGGTGTCAGAGCAGTGTGACCCGCAGGTGCCATATAAAAGAAAATTCACATACGTAAAATTTGCAGAAGTACGTGCTAGTGTGAGAGTATGCCCTCAAATGAAGCATAAGCTTGAGGCTGGGGACCTCAGAATTTATTAAAATAATAAAATAAAATGTACATTGTACACATTCATGTAACAGTACATTCCGTGGAGGACGGCCAAGGAGTCTTGTGCCTGTACCTGAGCAGGCAAAGACATGTGCCACGTGTACATGCTAGGATATAGGAATTCTTGTTAGATAGCAAGTGTCGTCCTTAGCTCTTTTTTTTTTTTTTTTTTTTTTTATGAAGGCTAATTCTTTAAGCCCAAGCAATTCAATTACCTGTCAAATCTGGACAGGACGGCCTCTCAGGCCTTTTTTTTTTTTGTCATTGTAGTATTACGGGGAACCCCATAGCAGCCACATCCGTGCTCAAGCCTCCAACAACGAGGGAACATGCGGGAGCTGCCCCCACCAGCAGGTTGGCGATACCTGCTACAGCAGGTGGGCCATACCGGCCAGGGGTCAGCCGGTAGCATCAGGACCAGTCACTGTGCCTCCCCTCAGGTGGTGGTCCCCTCCCCCTATGAACATCAGCAGTCTCTGCTCAATGCCACTCGGGGGGACCAACGGCATATCTCTAGGTGGCGGGCGCCAAGCTTGATCGCTTAGTTGTCTTTTTTTTCTTTTTCTTTTTTTTTCTTGGGGTAACTAGGGCGCAGTCATGAAAGCAGTTTGAAAATGCATTTAGAGCTGCCTGTTTGGAGTCCAGTACCGTCCCAAGTTTCAACTGCAGTTGAAACTCTTGACATGCACAAAAGTCGCGAGGCAGAGTTTGCAACTGCAGTCCAGTCCGCCATGTGGCCTCCCTTTTTTTTTCTTTTTTTTTCCTGTTTTTTTTTTTTTTTAATCTCGGCCGTGGCCGAGGCCTCGCGGCCATGGCCAGCCACGTGACGGGGCCAAAATTTATTCAAGATTTAAAGGGGGGAAAAAAAAAAAAAAAAAAAAACAGAGGGCCTTGCTCCACTATTCTTGACATGCGCAAAAGACACAAATCAAGGGCGCTGTACCTTCCCATGTTGTACAGGAAGATTCCCATGTTGTACAGGAAGACTCCCTCTCGTTTTGCACGTTTCGAGAGTAGTGGAGCCATGCAAAAAGAGAGTGAATCTTCCACTTCAACATGGAAAGATGCACCACCACGAGGCCCCAAGGATGACACGCATAGGTCGGGAAATCTGAGAAAGGAAAGAAAAGAGATAAAAAAAGAAAAGAAACTGGGTTGTTGTCAGCACATGTCTCCCCTAGGGCCTCTGCGTTTTTGTCAGCCCGTGTATCCTGCTGGGCCCCTGTATTCCCGTTGCACAGTGGCCATCGCTCAGCGCTAGCACCGCCTATTTCCCCCATCGGGAATGCCTGCCCACCCCTCTTCATAGTGATGAGGGACTGGTACAGCCTTGCTCTCGCACCACTGCTGTGGTGCCAACCTACCCCGTGGGCTGGGGAGAGATCCGGGTTGGTTGGTGTTCCCCCGTACTACACATACACTAGTGAGAGGATGAGATAGGTGAGTACTAGCAAGGAAAATGAGATAGATGAGAGAAGAATATAGCTTTTATAAAAAAAAAAAAAAACAATCATGGAGCTGTATCTTTCCATGTTCTGGGGAAGATTCACTCTCTTTTTGCACATTTGGAGAACAGCCCTGGAAACCGAGAGTGAATCTTTCGGTAGAGCATGGAAAGATACAGCGCCACGATCTTTTTTTTTTCCTTCTAGTTTCTTCTTTTCTTTTTCGGAAAACGGTCTGGCCCTCCCACGTGGATGACTAGACTGCAGTTATAGACTAGACTGCAGTTATAAACTCTGCCCTGCTACAGCCACGTGACGGCGGAGTTTGGCCTGCAGTGTAATCTTCAGAGGGGACTGGACTCCGAAACGGCAGATTGAAATGTATTTTCAAACTGTAACCCTTACTGCGCCCTTGGTTTTTTTTTTTTTTTTTTTTTTTTTTTTTTGGAGAAAACAACCCGAGTGAATGCTAGGGGTGCTGATAAGAGCAGACACCACTAACATGCTCGGGGAGGCTCCATCTATTGTCGGGGAGCAACACCTGCTGTCTGCGATGTATGGGAGTAAATTTGTGATTTCTTCTCCTTGTCTGTTTTAGGTATTTTTGCATTTTGATAACTTGGTGTTCTTTGTAGTCATTATAAGAGTAGTCAGCACGAAGGACCAGTGGGAACACCAATGGTTGGATGATATGAGCGACCCCGTGAAGAGGAAACTACAGTTGTATCCACTGGGTGCGTGTTGGGAAACCCGTCTAGGCAACAAAGGCTCTTTACAGTGTTCTGGACAGTGATGATGAGAGGGTATACCTACAGCTTATTCTTCTACAGACAGCGGCATTATGGGGTTAGTGTGAGTGCCATCGTCAGTGGTGGGAGCGTTAGTCGATTGTAGTCATTATATGAGTAGTTAGCACGAGGGAGCAGTGGGAACACCAATGGTCAGACGAAATGAGACACCCGGTGAAGAGCAAACTAGAGTTGTATCCATTGGGTGCGTGGTGGGAAACCCGTCTACACAACAAAGGCTCTTTACAGTGTGATTGGACAGTGATGATGGGAGGGTAACCCTACAACTTGTTCTTCTTGCCCAGCTCCTGGTCTTTGAGCTTATAGGTAGTTTTAGTTCCTAACGGCTTAGCCGTTTACTTGAATCCTGGTGGAAAGTAATATTGCCGGTTTAGGAAACGTAGCATGATGCGATACTAGTTTAATATCGATGAGCAACACTGCAATGATCTGATTGGCTGAACTTTAGCACCAAGTAGGATCATGGTGCCTGGTTTCTACACGAAATTACTTTGAGCTTCAAGGGATTTTGGAAGATGAGGATAGACCAGTGAAAGGAAGGGACGCTGGACCCGCTTTCCAGCAACAGCCCATTTAGGGTTATTGGTCATATCTTCCGGGTTGTTTGTGAGGAATTCCCGGCCTCCTTTCATTTGTAATAAAAGCTATCAATTCTTCCAAAAAAAAAAAAAAAAAAAACATGTCGCGTCCACTGCTGTTTCAAGCACTTGTATTTATTTACAAGCGGGGAAACCAAGCCCAGAAACAAAGGCGGCCTCTTGCCCATCTCCTTTTTTTTTTTTTTTTTTTTTTTTTTTTTTCCTCATCGGGGGACAGTCATCTATTTTTCTCTCACCTCACGTATCTTTCTTTAACTGGCGTTCTGCCATGTCATGGAACATATCTTTCTTTTCACTTACCTACCAGTACTCCTAACTTCCTAAGGCTATACAGGGGACCCCTGCAAGCATAGCGTTCTACCTCTCTTCGGTGAGGGGAGGTTACCTCTCTCGGTCGTTGGAGAGGGGTAAGGGCATGTTTGCCCCTTTGCCCTAGCGTTTTAGGGTGCAGGGTTGGGGCGGCCGATGGGGGCCCGACTAACACAAGGACCGAGCATTTTGCCGGAACTGTTCCTCCCTATTCATCTTCCCCCACCCCCATAGAGTAACAGTAGTGTCTAAAGCCAACACTCTCCCACACACCACACTCAACCCACTCACACACAAACACTCACACCCGTGTTGGCTGAAGACCTTACTGATACCGACTGGGAGGATCCAACTGACTATCTCAGTTAGTTGGCACCAAGAGTGCTACAGGCGGCCGTGGGAATTGAACCCACAACCTCCTGAATGCCACTTGCGTGCCTAACCAATTGAGCTAGTTCAAAAGGAACTTTGTTTTTTTTTTTTGTTTTTTTTTTGTTGCGAAATAGCCCTGGTTGATGTTCGGAGGTCCTCATGACTCCAAATCTTCAGATGATTGCGTA